CACATACATACACACACATACATACACAATCTTAGTTAAGAATGTATCTCTTTAAGAAGCCAGCCTTATGCAAAAGTTTCCAAGAGATAAAGTTCCACTTCCATTGGCCAAAATCTCTAATAACCAAATGCATTAACAATGATCTTGGTGGGAACTACAAATGAATCAACAGTTATTTTTATGCCTAATCATAAGATCTTAAAATAAAATTTAGCTTATGTTACCTTAAAATAAAATTGAAATTTACATTTATTTATAAATACCTTTATTTATATAGATTTAATGATGCCATGGATTAATTTCTTAGTCCTGATTTCTCCAATCAGTGAAACCCCGATCCTTGCTTTTCTAAAAAGGATCACACTATAATATTTTTAAGAAAGAATCCCCACCCCCCACCCCCACCCAATGCTCAGTCTTGAGAATGTTAATACAGTGAATGTCTGTATTGGCTGAGTATTAATGTTGGCCAAAGTATAGTAATGTTTTATAAGGATGTAGATGCACCCAAAGTACTTGGTTGCTTGTGATGCTTGAGATGAAAAAAGGAAATGGCACTTTAGCTTCCCCTCAACTAAGTATGCAACTCTATGCACTGCTGGCCACCTTGCCTTTTGGAAATAGAAGTCTGATAAGACATCTAGTCCCTAAAGAATCTATTTTCTTTCAGCTTATTCAAAATAAATTATTTTAGGCAGCTATTGCAGAGAGTAAGGATGATGACTGAGGGAAATATGCAAGAACCATGTCCTAGGCAAAAGAGTCTGAATCATATTTTACGACTTGAGAATATTCAGATGCAGTTCAAACTTCCTTTAGAGTTGATTTATATTACCATTAAATCACCAGGAGTTAAAACAGGGAAGGTTTTCACATACTAGACACATGGGACAAGTTTACAATTGCACTAAACCTTGGCTTAATTATGGTTTATTAAATAACTTCCATTGACATGTTTCACATACTGTGATAAACAAATAATAGTTTACAAAACCCAACAGGTAGTACATTCAACAGTCTAAACCATATCCATATAAACCAACAATGACAAGAGATTAAAATAGGACAGTCTATAGATCACAAAGAAATGAGATTTCACGGAGTACAAATTACAACAATTTTAATTTTATATGCCAGCAAAATAATGCTTAGAATTATCTAATACAGATTAGAGTCCTACACAGAGAGGGCAATGCCAGAGGTTCAAGCTAGTTTTTTGAAAACATCATGGAAACAGATATTATAGCTCATGCATGTTAGACAATATCAGATCCCACCTTCTCACACTCTGCCTCCACCCTTCCCATCTGTCCTTAGGTTTGATTTTAATTATTTATGTTTTGATTGTCCATGTATAGATATATTTTTTATGACTGTAAGCCATCAGAATTACCCTATTGTACGATGGGCAACCAATAAACTTTATAATAAAATAAAACAAATCAGGAAAGAAAGAATACCAAAAAGAAGCTAATGTTAAATGTTAAAAGTTAATGTTAAAGAGCCCCAGTGGCACAATGGTTAAAGTGCAGTACTGCAGGCAAATGCTGCCCACAGTCTGAAGTTTGATCCTGAGCAGGGCTCAAGGTCGACTCAGCCTTCCATCCTTCTGAGAGTAGTAAAATGAGGACCCAGATTGTTGGGGACAATATGCAAATAATTCTTACATGGTAAACCACCCAGAGTGCTGTAAAGCACTATCGACCAGTGTATAAGCCTAAACACTATTGGTATTGTATTAATGTTGGTTTTCTTGATTATAGAAAGGCCTTTGATTGTGTTGACCATATGAAGTTGTGGAAAGTCTTTAGGAAAATAAGAATCCCAAAATATTTAATTTCAAAATCTCAGACAGGACAGAAACCACACCATATAGAGAAAATGGTAATAGAGATGGGCTTCAGATGGCAAAAAGATTAAGTCAAGGATATATGCACCCCCTAATTTATTCAACATTATATGCTTAATAAAGGCATCAGGAAGGGCATTTGGCCAGAGAATGTTCAACTTCAGCTCCAGCCAGCCACTCTTACTCTACCCCAAATTAAGGGACTACTGGATTATAAAAAGAAAAAAAAATGGTTGAATAAGTATTGAGGTCTACTTCTCTGGAGATGGCTATAATGTTGGAAAGGTGGAAGGAAAGAGAAGAAGAGGACAATCAATGGCAAGGTGATGAATGCATGGTGGAAGATATGAAAAAAGGTTGTTTTAAGGAGTCGACAATGATTTAATGGCATATAATCAAAACTGGAAGAAGCACAGCTTTAAACTTAGAAGAGGAAACTTAAATAACAAGCACTATGGTGGTGATACTGCTTTGATAGTTGAAAAAAATGCAAATGAATATCTTGTGATAAAAATCAAGGTGCACAATTAAAAAACTGAATAAATTAAATAAGGTCAGGCTAATGATAAAAATTAAAAGAAACCAGCCCTAGAATTGACAGTGAAGATGCTGATTATGGTTCTTAATGTCTGATTTTTAGGATTAGTTATTAAGAGTTAAAGAACATGCAATCAGGAAATATGCTGCAGATTAGCACTTAGAATAGCCAAGAAGGCCTTGGAAAAGCTCTTCAGATGAGTGATCTTTATTGCAGTCACAGACTAATATAAAGAAACAAAAACAAAACAAACACAGAAGGAATCAAATACCTTAGAGACAACATCAGTGGGTGCTGGTATGTATCTATACCTACAAAGATCAGGAAGCCTGCAGGGAATTGTTTCCTCTGTGAAGCACAAATTGGGATTTGAAGAAGCCTCAATGCTTTGGAGCTCTGGTGTTAGAAGACTCAGAGAACACCACAAATAGTCAAGACAGCAGGCAAGAGGGTCCTAGGACAAATCAATTCAGAGAGGCACAAATGGCCATGCCCAGTTTATGGGGATTTCATGCAAAAGACTCAATTATTTTGACAAGTAGACTGTAATAATGAGCAAGATGGAAGGGGCAAAAATGGACGCCCTTCGCCCAAGTTGGATGCTCTCTGCAGCAATGGATGCGCCATGCAAACTGCTGAAGGATGAGTTGGGCACAGAGTGTCATGGACGAAGTTTATGTGGCTGTTAGGAGCCATCATCTTCTTAATAGCATATAATTAACGAAATTAGTCAATTATGTTTGAGCCCGGCAATAATGTGAAGAGAAGCAACCTAGAACTACAGAGAAATTTCCTGACATTGAAAACAATTAACCAGTGGAATGAATGGCTTGCCTCCAGAAGTTGTGAGTGCTTCATCACTGGAGATCTTTTAAGAAATGACTGGACAACCATTTGTCCAGAATGGTGCTTGAGCAGGTGGAGTTGGACTAGAACAGGGGTCAGCAACCTTAAACACTCAAAGAGCCACAAAGGTCCTAACCCGAAGTCCCCATTCAATTCTGGAGCTGACCAGACTCTATGGCGGTTGTCCCACCAGAGTGTCTCCTCCTAGTGTGGCGTCCTTTTTCCTCTACCTGTCCTAATCAAAAGCTTTATCAACCCTGGAACCGACCAGCAACAGAGAGCTGCAGCAGAGGGATGAAAGACACACAGGTTGCGGCCCCCCTGGACTAGAAGACCTCCAAGAGCCCTCCCAAGTTTCTTATGCTGTTGTTCCGGATTATTTGTTTTGGATTTAGTGCAAGGGTCTTCAAACTTGACAGCTGTAAGACTTGTGGACTTGAACTCCCAGAATTCCTGAGCTAACATGACTGGAGGAGGAATTCTGGGAGTTCAAGTCCACAAGTCTTACAGCTGTCAAGTTTGAAGACACCCCCCCCCCCCCCCTTCGACTAATTTCCTTCAGAATAACTGAAGGAACATCAGCCGCTAGAATTTCGCACCAACTTGAGGGAGATTTTTTTTTTTTTTAATGAAACAGGAGGAGCCTCGGAAACGAGGGTTCCTGAGCTTCTTTGGAAGTTCAGCCATTCTTTCCGCCCTCGTCCCTCCTCAGAGGTTTTCATATTGCCGGCTGGGGCAGCGATGGAAATCTTTCCTGGCAGCGCGAAGCTGCTCCCCTCTCCCTCCCTTCCAAAGAGCGGCTGGGCGGGGCTCTTCTCGCCCGGTTCCCTTCGCCGGGAGGCAGGGCTGGAGCGTCGGGTGACGCACGCGGAAATGGTATGAGCAGCTCTCGGGCGGTGCTGCCACCGGGGCAGGTGGCAAGTGGAGTGGCTCCTCAGCTGAAGCGAGATGCTGGCCAAGTGAAGGAGCCTTGGTGCTCATTTGCAGCCTCGACATGGAGCTGTGAGTTGGGGAGGGGCTGCGCTTGGGAAGGCAACTGGGGGCTTCCCCGGGAAGCGCCGAGGGTGTGTGTGTGGGAGGGTGTTTGTAGTCTACAACGCGGCACGGCTCTCCTTTACCAACTTTGATCCCAGCCTACTGTGCGTCATTCAAGGCCGGACTTTGCAAAATCTTTCCCAGCCTGAATGTGCTCCGGTTACGTTGCAGTTCCGTGGCCGGTTCCGAGGTTGAGGAAGAAAATTAGGCTCAGACCAAGGGTCGTTCAGGGCAGTTTGGTAGCTCCGGTCCATACTTTCCCTCCTGGTGATACTTGTCCAGATTGTTGGGCTCCCCTAATCGGTGCTGGAGCAGTGTTTCTCAACCTCAGCCACTTTAAGATGTGTTGGACTTCAACTCCCAGAATCCCTCATGCTTGTTTGGGGGAGTTCTGGGAGTTGAAGTTCACTTACCTTAAAGCAGCTGAGGTTGGGGGAAAAAAAACAAACTTATCTATATGGCAGGGGTTTCCAACCTTGACCACTTTAAGCCTGGTGGACAGAAAGCTGGCTCAGGAATTCTGGGAGTTGAAGTCCACCAAGCTTAAAGTGGTCAAGGTTGGAGACCCCTGATATATAGTATGCCTTTGGAGAGCACCAGGATGAAAAAAAGTTGATTTAGCCCAAGAGTCTTCAAACTTGACAAGTTTAAGACTTGTGGACCAACTCCCAGAATTCCTGAGCTAACATGACTGGAGGAGGAATTCTGGGAGTTGAAGTTCACAAGTCTTAAAGATGTCAAGTTTGAAGACCCCTGATTTACCTGATGGAAAGCAGGCTTGTTTCCGACTTCCATATAGCATTTGAACTGGGCCCTAACTTAATCCGCCACTGATAAGACAGAACTTAAATAAGATAATCGGAAAGCAATAGCTTGTCTTATGCAAAACTGTCCTGTAATTTGTTAGTTTATAATTGGGATAAGAACTGCCAAGTCAAGAGAGATAATTTTCCTGGGAGTTATGAGGTGTGTTAACTTTAATTTTAGAAACAAGGCCCCAGGAAAGATATCTTCAGCTCTATTGCTGACATAGGAGGAAGGGACTTAATCTGTGAGCAGCTGTGTTTATTGTGGATGCTTTTAAAAAGTGTTTGTGGATTGAGACATACTGAATGTTGATTCCCCTGCTTTTTTGTATTGTATTGTATTTGTATATGGTATGAAACATTGTTACTTCTTGGTCCTAAAGCCATGTTAATGCTGGGGATAGGCAAGGTTAGATATAAATGTGCTCTAAATGTTGGCTACATTACATTATCATGCAAGAACTAGCCATTATAATGAAGGCCAAGTCTTTTGTGCCTTTTCCTGTGGCATCTGAAGGCATAATAGATCTAGAAACATTCAACATTTCTTCTAAATTTCTCCTCATGTAAACAAACACCAGCACTTTATGAAGGAAATACAGAAATAGAAGTGTGTTTCTACAGTTTTGTGTTTCTTTCCAATTCCTTCAAGAACACCTGGGTATCATTTTCTGATTATGCACAGAGAAAACAAAAAGGTCACAAATTGGATCAAATGTAGCACTTGCCATCAAAACATAACCTTTTCTGTAAATTGGGAATAAAGTGTGCCTGCATTTCCGAAGGTTGACTTATACATTTGATAAGAATATGCTACTGTTTAATAAAAACCCTTCCAAAGTGATTTCCAAAAAACCCTTCAAAAACATGAATTAATGGCCACATACATTAGATGGAAATTCTGTTTTTTTTTTGGAATTGGTTGTCTGGAAGAAAAAAGCACCTCTACTTCCGATAACATAAAGTTGCTGTTTACCTGTAACTTAATTTTTCTCTCCTTGTTTGCAGACTGGCTCCAATGCGATTGTATACTCTGTCCAAGCGCCATTTTGTTTTGGTCTTTGTAGTATTCTTCATTTGTTTTGGCTTGACTGTCTTAATAGGCATTGCAGGTAAGATTTCTACCTTTTCTTCCAATTTTTTAAAACTTGCGTCTTATTCTGTTCCTTGGCTGCATTTGTCATTATGTTACTATAACAGTGAAACCTCTGAAGATATTCCTTGTTTGTATTCCTGATACAAAAAGGAGAAATGAATTTGAGGCATTACAGATCGTCCTTGACTTATGACCAACATTTCCATTGGCTAAGCAAGACCCCTGTGAAGTGAGTTTTTCCCCATATTACAACTTTTCTTGCCACAGATGTTAAGTGAATCACAGCTGTTAGGTTAGTGACATGGTTGTTAAGTGAATCTGGCTTTCCCATTAACTTTGCTTGACAAAGGGTCACAAAAGAGATTGCATGACCCCGGAACACTGTAACCATCATACATATGAGGCAATTGTCAAGCAGCCAAATTCTGATCATGTGACCATGGGGATGCTACAATGGTCGTAAGTGAAAAACAGTCATAAGTCACTTTTTTCAGTGCCGTTGTAACATTGTACTGGTTGCTAAATGAATGGTTGTAAGTCAAGAATTACCTGTACTGAAAGATACCAATTGTGATGACCCGGGAAGCAGCACACACATAACAAATTCCCAAATGTAAATACATTTCCTTTAATGCACCCAGCTTGGTCCCACTGTTCAATTGTTCACAGTTGGAGATTAAACTCTTTCCAAAATAGTCTCTAAAAGAAAGAATTATAGTCCAAACTCAAAAAACAGATAACAGAAATAAAAAAAAAAAACGCACTGAAGGAATTTTCACAACAGACCAGGATAATTAATTAGAAACTTCAAGAAGATAACAAGGCACAGTCCATTGGAAGCATATAACCACAATTGAGACTAGAGTTTCTGTTGTTAAGCAAGGCGGTTAAGCGAGTTGCACCTGAATGTACAATCTATTCGGCACAGTTAATTGAATCATTGCAGTTATTAAGCAACTCCAGTTCCCCCCACTGGCTTTGCTTTCAGAAGACAGCTTCAGAGGGCCTCGCATAGCATGACCCTAGAGCAGGGATCCCCAAACTTGGCAACGTTAAGACTTGTGAACTTCAACTCCCAGAATTCTCTAGCCACGTTGGAGAATTCTGAGAGTTGAATTGAATTGAATTGAATTCTTTATTGTCATTGTACGTATATACACAGTATACATACAACGAAATTCACATAACACCCAGAGACCAGACTCAACATGCACACACACATGACAATCCCCAAACACCTCCCCACCTACCAAAATTCCCCGCCTCCTAAAAACACACAAGCATCCACACAACAGACCAAGTAATACTGTCCAACAGCTCACTGATGGTGGTCCTTAAGTTAATTGTTAAATGCAATTATAGCTCTGGGATAAAAACTATTCAGAAAATGTGTGGTCTGGGTTTTAATTGTTCTGTATCTTCTGCCAGAAGGCAACAGTTTATAAAGATTGTAAGCAGGATGGGAAGAGTCTCTGAGAATGTTGTGCAACTTCCTTAAACAGTGAGATGCAAAGATGTCATCCAGCGCTAGTAGCTGGAGCCCAATGATATTCTGGGCAGTTTTAATGATTCTCTGTAGAGTTTTTTTTGTCCACTACAGAGCTGCTCCCATATCATACAAGAATGCCGTATGTCAGACACTCTCAATGGTGCTGCGGTAGTAGGATGGAAGTAAATACTGAGATAGATTTATCTTCCTGAGCATTCTCAGGAATTACAGCCTCGTCTGTGCCTTCTTTACAAGCATGTTAGCATTTATAGTCCATGAGAGGTCCTCCATGATATAAGTGCCCAGAAATTTAAAACTACCAACCCTCTCCACCTCCTCACCATTTATGTACAATGGTAAATGTACATCTCTCTTCCTCCTGAAGTCAATTATAAGTTCTTTAGTTTTTTGAAGTCCACAAGTCCAAAAGTTGCCAAGTTTGGGGACCCCTGCCCTAGAGGCTGCAACAGTTGTAAATACATGCTAGTCGCCAAGTGCCCGATTTGGATCACGTGACCTGAGGATACCGCAACTGTTGTAAGAATGAGGACTGGTCACAAGTCACTTTTTTCAGTGTGTCCTAACTTTAAACGATCACTAAATGAATGATTGTATGGGATGCAATTTCACAATGGGGGAGCACATTTGAGGGTCACGGGTGACTTTTTTGTTTCTTGAAGATCGCCAACTATCACTACTCTTAAAACATTAGTGTCATGCCTCTGTTGGAGACTGACTCCAAGGGAGAGGAGGAACAGCCAACGGGGAGTGGAAGTGTGGCTCCGGAGGCTGGGGAAGGGCAGAGGCTGCCTGGGCAATCAGAGGAAGACCCAGGCCCATCCCCTCTTCATCTGAGGGCACGCAGGGAGGAGGGAACAACATGGCTTACAGGAGAGGAAGCGGCCATGATCCCCCTCATTGGCTGAAGCTGGGGGGAATAGTATATAGGAGAGGCATTTAAAACACAGAGTTGCTAGAAGCAAAGCATGTTTTATTTCTGGCAGAGGTTTATCTTGGTTGGTGTTCTTCCAACAGACTGTGCCTTGTTATCTTCTTGAAGTTTGTAATTAATTATCCTGGTCTGTTGTGAGAATTCCTTCAGTGTGGTTTGTTTTGGGTTTTTTTATTTCTTCGTTATCTGTTTTTTTGAGTTTGGACTGTAATTCTTTCTTTTGGAGACTATATTTGAAACTGTTTAATTTCCAACTGCGAACAATTGAACAGTGAGGCCAAGTTGGAGGCATTAAAGGAAATGTATTTATGTTTGGGAATTTGTTATGTGTGTGCTGCTTCCCGGGTCACCACAGCAGTTCACTTGCTGACCATGGCTAAAAAAAGTTGTAAAATGGGGCAGGGCTCCCTTAATAACTGCTTTGCTTAATAATGGAAATTCTGCTCCCAATTCTGGTCGTATATTGAGGACTACCTGTTAAGTGATTTGTGATATTTAATGAGAAAAAGGTGCCTGAATAAAATGCAAGTAGAGGTAGTCCTCAACTTACAACCATTCATTTAGTGATCGTTCAAAGTTACAACAGCACTGAAAAATGTGACTTATGACCGTTTTTCACACTTATGACCTTTGCAGCATCTCATTGATCATATAATCAAAATTCAGAGGCCTGGCAACTGGTGCATATTTATGAACGTTGATGTGCCCCACGGTCACATGATCCCCTTTTACGACCTTCTGACAAGCCAGAAGTCAGTGGGGAAGCCAGATTCACTTAACAACCAGGTTCCTAGCTTAGCAACTGTGGTGATTAACAACTGTGGCAAGAAAGGTTGTAAAATGGGTGAAAGCTCAATGCCTATAGAGATTCTCAGTCATCCGGGTCAAGGTTGCCCCAAAGGTACTTTTTTTTCAAAAGGCAACTGGACTTTCTGGTTTTTCTTTGAAGACAGCAGCTCTAAAGAATCTTCTTGTGATGACCAGGGGTGTGACACAAAAATAACCAAGTCACAAAAATAGAAGAAAGTCCCTTTAATGCCTCCAACTTGGCCCCAGTGTCCAATTATCCTCTGCTAGATATCAAACTCTTAAAGAAAATGCAGTCTGCACCCAAAGTAAAGTTAATTCAAAATAAAAAACCGAACACACCACACTGAAGGAATTACTACAGCAGGCAAGGATGATTAATTGCAGACTTCTACCAGAAAATGCAGCAACCACAGTTGAGAAGAAGCCAAAACACCGATAATCTCTGACAAGAATGCATGCTTTGCTTCCAGCAACTTTGCCATGCGCAGTTCGTCCTTTTAAACAGTCCTCCAAGCTGCAGCCCATGAAGGGGATCAGGGCCTTTTCCTCCCCCATAGACCACCCATTCACGTTTCTCTCTTATCTGCTCCTCCTTGCGTGCCCTAGGATGAAGAGAGGATGGGCCTGTGTCTTCCTCTGAATGCCCATACGGCATGTGCCCTTCCCCAGCATCTTCCACAACCACCGGAGCCACACTCCCACACACTCCCACTCCCTGTCAGCTGTTCCATCTCTCCCTCAGAGTCAGTCTCCAACAGGGGCATGACACTTCTTGGATGAGAAACGAAACATTTTCAAAGAAAAATCAGAAAGTCCAGTTCCCTCTTGAAAAAAAAAAGGACCTTTGGGCTAAAGCTCCCTTAACAAATGTCTTGCTTAAATTAAATTAAATTAAATGAATTAAAAAGGTGATTCTGCAGGGTGACAAGGGGTAATAAGAATATTTCTGCAGTTAAAAATATTTAGAAAATAGGGTAATATAGATACTGATAACTTTTATTAAAAATTAAGGGGGGGAAATATGCTGCGGAATCCAAATGAAAAGAATGTAACTTCTTAAAAATAATGGGTTATTGGGAATCAAGATGAGGGAATAAAGGTATATTTTAATCATTGAGGTGTCACACTCAAAGCAGTAAAAGGGGGGAAACCTATATTTGTTTTTTTTCTTTAGTGTTAAAATTTGTATTAATCTAGAATTTATAAAAAGAATGTGTAATGGAAAGGGAATATGACAGACTAAAGAACCAACTAAATTAATAAGTTAATATAGACTATTAAAAGCAAGGAGAGACATTGGTAACCTTTATTATTATTATTATTATTAGGCAAACACATATCTTTATTTTTAAAATAAATATTAAAGGATTATATTTGAAATAATTGAAATGAAACAAAAAGATGTTTTGATTGAGATTAATGAAAGAGGCTAGAATTAATGTGTTTGTTTCTCTTCTTACTGAACATTTGGAATGGAAAAGGTAATAGTAGAATTAAATATGCATATATGAATGTATAATTGCTGTCATATTTGTATGTAAAATTGATGACCCGGAAATATGTTGTCCACTAAAAAGAGATTTTTGTTTTTAATGTGAAAAACTGAATAAAATTTGTTAAAAAAAAAAACCCCAAATGTCTCGCTTAACAGAACTTTTGGGCTCAATTGTGGTCATAGGTCGAGGATTACCTGTATTTAAATATAGGCTGCTCACACCCGATTTCTAAATACACGTAGAGCATGCAGGGTTTATCTGCAGTTTGCTGACGAAACCCCTTCAGTACAGTTGACCTCCAGGGCTGCATATGTGATATTTGGTGTCATGTTGGAAGGGTGAACCTGACCTTTGTCATTCTGGGGAAGTAGGTGCTGATGCATATTCTTTCCTCTTACACAATTAGCCAGGGCAGAAGGATTCGCTGGCTTGAGCCTAAGTGACTGATACATACTGTTTGCTGTTAAAGGGTAGTGCAAAATTCTCTTTTTTGGTGAGGCTGGCAGGTTTTTCAGGAACTAGAAAAATTTTCTTGCTTTCTTGGGAAGTAGATCCAATTGTCCTGCAATTTAACACAATATACTCCATTGTCTTATCTGAATGATGTGTTTGCCCTAAAAGCCCTAATTTTTTTTAAAAAAAGTTTTACAGCAGGGGAGTCAAACTCAAGGCCTTCAGGCCAGGTGTGTCCCATGGGATACTTAGATCTGGCCCTTGGGGCCACCCTGGAAACCGGCAAAGAACTGGCCTGTAGTGCCTCTGCCAGTGAAAACGGAGATCAGGAGGGCTGCGTGCGGTCCTCCCAAACTCTGTTTTTGCTGGCAGAAGGTTGCAGGAGGCCGTCGCAGACGAAAATGGAGCTCGGGAGCCCATTTTCTCTGGCAGAGTGCTTAGGCCACTATAGGAGCCCCCGACACGATGTTGAGCTGGCCACACCCACCCTGGCCATGCTCCCCCCAGCCCGCCCAAGGTCAAACACAACCCTGATGCAGCCCTCAGTGAAATTGAGTTTGACACCCCTGTTTTACAACATTTCTCAATGTCAATCAGCTTTAAGAGGTATGGAGTTCAACTTCCAGAGTTCCACAGCCATTCATCGGTTACGTTCTGCGCCTTTATGTCTCATTCAGGTCCCAGAGTCATTGAATGCATATCAGAAATACCGCCGATAAACAATGGTTCAAAGGTAAGCCTTGTTGTCCTTGGTTTTGGATTTGATGTATTTTGACTTTATAGGCAATTTTTTTTTTTTGAAAAAAAAAATTTTTTTTGAAACAAATTTTATTAATTTTAAAGACAAACAAACATCATTAAACATTAAAAACATAAAACCTCTTTCCATTGTAAATCTTTACAAGGCAGGTAAAACATTATTTTATATCGCATAATTCTAATTTACCCCATTTCCATATAAACACATTTTTTTTTGAAAATTTTATTTGGGTTTTCACAAAAACAAAATACAAATAAAACATCTTTTTTGAAAATAGCATGGTCCCAGGTTATCACTTCTTCATATAGACACAAAACTCAATTTCATGCTCATTTTTATATTCTATTCCATATCTTATTACCATTTTATATTTTCTACATAGTTTTTCCCCTCTTCTAATTTTCTCAACTTTGTTTTGATTATCTCAACTCAAATCATTATATTTATACTTTTGTCTGTCCTGTTACAATTTTACATTATCTTTTCTTATTAAACAATTTTTTCCCTGTAGTTACCAATTAGAGTATGACACCTTTATATCCTTTAATTTTATCCATTCAAGCTCTTATTTAAGCTTCAATGTATAGCTTTAAGATTATAGCATTCAATATAATACATAACTTCCAATCAAATTCTGCTTGGTACATTCTTAAAATAGACACTATATTCTTAAAAAGAAAAAATTATATATATATATATATATGTAAATAAAACACATTCCATCCCAATTCAATTCTATCATTAGTATGCATTAAAATCTTAACATCTTTAACATTTCTTTTCAATTGAATATCATACTTCCTTGGGAACACTTATAACTTTCCATAGTTAATTCTTCCCCCCGCCATATTTCTTACTTATATTTTTATAAATCATTACTAATAATTAAAAATGTTCCCTTTTAATTCTCTCAATAATTTTAATTCATTTATTTATTAACAAACATCCCACTGCATTACAATAAATATTTTATCCATCATCATATTTTCTAAAGTTATTTCTATTTGTAATATAACAAAGCTATCTTATGTACCTTTGCAGAATCCCTTTTACAATTAAATTTTCACCCATTATCTCTAAACAAACTTATGGTTACAATCCTTATATCTTTTCCCTGTTTCTCCATTTCTTGTTTCTGTCTTTTACAACTTCTTTTCCTTGCCTTCTTCCCCCTCTTCTTCTCCCTCCCCTTTTTACCCCCTCGTCTCTCTACTTCTAACTCTCTCATCTGTAATCCCCTCTTCTGTTGCTTTCTAATATTATACTTATCTTTCAAATTGTTCTTTTTGGTTGTTTTTTTCTAATCTTAAACCTTTCACTCTCTTTCCCCCCTTTTCTTCCCCCCCACTTAAAATTATTTGATCATTAAAGATGGCTTCTTCTTTGTCCCAATCTTCTTGTTCTGCAAGCGTTTCTTGTTGCTTCTCATACTTCCAGATCTCCATTTCTAAGAATTGAAACACGAAGCCAAAAGAACTTCTCCCTTCTTGTGCGTCTTCTTTCCATTGTTTAAGTTCCATTTTCAGTTCTTCTAAGAGTGATACCATTTTAAAAACTTTTAAACAGCCACCAGCTAATTTTAGTCATCTAGATGCAAACACCAAAAATCACCAAGTAACCCAAATAATCCAAGGCTGTTTCTACTTGCTCCTTTTTTCCACTTTCTCTTCCTGGGGTTCTATTATTTTGTTACCAAGTTTCCATTAAAATGTATCTTTGAGGAATCTTGCTAAAATTTCACTGTAAGTTCCTTTTAATTACAGTTCCATTCCTTAATTCCAGGCAGGCTCCTCCATTTTTCCAGATCCTGCCCTTCTATTCTTTTTTTTTCTCCTTTCCAGCTTTTAAAAACTTTTAAATGTCCAGAAATCTTTATTTATCCCTTTGACTTTTATTTTCAGCTTAGATGCCTATTAATGTCAAAGTGGTTTTTTTTTTTTTTTCAGTTTCTTGCTTAAGTCTCTTAGCTGTCAGTATAAGGAAGGGAAGTAAAAAAACCTAATCCTTTCCCTTCTCTCTCTCCTTCGCAGCTTCAAAATCTTCTTTGGGAACAATGTTGTTAAGTTTAAATTCCAGGGTACCTTATTTGTTGCTTTTGCTGTTTGACCCGGTCAACCAAAACTTTCTCTTCTTATCTTCCTCCTGCACATTCTTTTCCGGTCGAGTTCTTCTTTGTGGTGGCCATTTCTGACCACCACTACAACCGCCTTCGGGAAAGGGAGTAATGGCCAGCTGGGGAGGAGAGATGCGGCTCTCCTCAACCCTGCAGGCAGTCTCCCCCCTCTTCACCTCTATGGGGTGGCTTAGCCCCAAAACCAGCCGGCTCAGGGTGCTCCAGCGGCGAGCACAGATCGAAGCTTCAGGGAGACGAGGTTTCGGTCTGTCACCAAAGAAGCTCAAACTGGAAGTCCACTTTATAGGCAATTTTTAACCGGTATACAAATAACATTAGATAAAAAGCTATCCAACAACTTCTTACATTCGGAATAATATTAACCATGGCATTGGGCTTATCTTGAGACTATGGCTTGCACAACTGTTCGGTAGCAAAGGTCAAGTCTCTTCCTACTGCACCCAGGTTGTGACTCAAGGTAACACCAGTTACCTTGTTCTGTTTGCTTCCATACCAAATACAGATTGCCCTCCACTTACAACCATTCATTTAGTGAACACTCAAACTTACAACAGCATTGAAAAAAGTGACAACCATTCCTTGAGCTTACGATGAGCACAGCATCCCGATGATCATGTGATCAAAATTCAGTTGATTGGCAACTGGCCAATATTTATGACAGCTGTAGTGTCCCAGGGTCATGAGATTGCTATCAGAGACCTTCCCAGCTGGCTTCTGACAAGCAAAGTCAATGAGGGAAGCGGATTCACTTAATGACTGCATGGCTCACTCAACTGCAATGATTCACTTAACAACCATGGCAAAAAAGGTTGTAAAATTAGGGGTGACTCAACTGCCTTGCTTAGCAGTGGAAATTCTGGTCTCATAGTCGTAAGTCAAGGATTACCTGTAAACCATGAACCCCTTTGTCTTCATGAAATGCAGATTTTTAAGATTTCTTAGGGACCAGAATATGTTTTATGACTAAGGACAAAACAATGAAACTCTTAGCACTCCTGTGATAAGCACTGAGGGGTTTCCGGGTTGAAAGGATTAGCTGGTGACATCATTGCCTGGGGAAAATCCAGTAGGGGGTTCCTTTCATGTCTCTGGCAGGAGCTGGAGCGAAGGATGGGAACTCAACCCTGCCCCACAGCACTATTTGGATCTTGAACCCAGGATTGCTAATCTCCAACCCAACGTCCTAACCTCCAACTCAGCTGTGCTCCATGAATCGCAAGAATGACATATTTTCCTTTAACGAATTACATTTGGATAATGCTTTTAATTGCTGGAGGTGCATTTTTAATCCATGCCCCTGTATTTCTGAAAACATTTTCACAAACATGGATCAGGTAACATTTGTACTATTAACACTTAATAGATACTGCTAAAAAAGTGGACTAGCTTATGCTTCCACTAGAATGATTTTTAGTGAGAAGATTTAACACGATTGCACCTTTGTTTTCCATTTTGTTGTAGACAAAGTCGTTTCCTCTGAGTTCACCACCAGTATCTACTTATAATCAGCAACTATGGCTTACCTGCACGGTGCACTTGGAGCAACCTTCTGGTAAGGATATTTTTTAGTTTAGTTGTAGATTGCTGTTCTGCTGTATTATTTTAATTGCATGTATACCTGCTAATGTTATATAGCACTGGTGTCCAACCTTTTGGCTTGCCGGGGCTGCATTGAATGAAGAGGAATTGTCTTGGGCCACACATAAAATATATATAATACAGTTGATATACATAAATCACATAATTTAAAAGTTTATGATTTTGTAAGGCTACATTACTCGCCCTCCAGGGCTGCATGTTGCCCATGAGCCGCAGATTGCACATGCCTGATGTACAGTGTTTGGGTCCCATTTTGGTTTAGCATGAAAAAAACAGACTCATATCTGATAAGCTGGTTTTGTATCACAGTGTTTTAGGTGGTTGATAACTCTGTCTCTCCCTCTTTACATATCAAGAAGCCAATAGAAATGGGGAGTTAGTAAGCAAGGAGTGGATTGCAACATATTACCCGCTACTAATGTCAAGATATAACTAGGCAATTTATGTACCAAGACTTATTGTAGCTGGGGAATATATGTCGGAAAAATCTTGTTCCTGAAATCAGGTTGCCAGGAGGAGATGGATTACATTGTTTCTGTAGTTTGGGTTAACTAGGAAAATACATTTTTCCATGGAGGAAAATTCTCCTGAAGACAGACCATATTGCAAAATGTTGTTTCCTTTAACTATATCGGTTGCATATAACTACCAGCATTTGCTGTGTGTACCATGTACCTGCTAGAGTGCATGTCATTATATATTTTTAGTTGTTAAGTTTATATACCTGCCCATCTCACAAAGATGATTGAGGACAGCATACAATCAAACAACCTTAAAAAAAAATCTAAAATAATAAATTCTCAAGTCATTGTATACTTTTAAAAAGGATAGCATGAGGGCAAATAAATGAATAATAGTAGTTACCTGAAGATTAACTTAGTGTTAAGCAGCTGATATATTAAACAGAAGTAAAGAAAACTGGGTATGTTGCTAAAGGAAGATATTTGTTCTTAGACTGACTCATGGAAAGAAGCAACATTTAAACATATTTTCAAACCCCCTCTATACAAAAAGATTGGGAGAATAGGTGTATAGATTACAAAAGGAGTAATATCCTCAGGAGATGAAAAGATGAAAAGATACTGATATATTGTGGCCTTGTCACCATAAGTTCTTTTCTCATGCATCACTTTTGTTTTGCCACAACAGATTAGGTTTCTAATCTGCTTTAGCTAGTAAGATTTTTTTTAAAAAAAATAAGCAAGGTAAATTTCCCCAGATAACCAGTTATGTGACACATTTCACACATGTAAGACAAATTTGCAGATGCATGAAATGTACAAGAGCCAGTAATAAAAGAGCTAGAATTCATGAGCACTTTTGTTGGTCCAAAATATGTGAACAAGCTGAATCTTGACTCCAGAAATATCACGCAAATATCAGCCTAACTCAGCCATTTGCTGGTTGAATATTACAAGTGTCATCCAACATGTCTGGAGGATATCTATTTGAAGAAAGCTATCATAACTTATAGAAGAGGATTGGTAATCGCCTAAAAAAGCGCCAATTTGGAAGCCTATTTCAAAATGAACAAGTTTCAATAATCTCTTGCTGACTTGACTGATTCTGTACTTGATATTTCTTGGTGTATTTCCATCTTTCCTGATTTAGTTTTTCCCCCTATGTTACACTATTCCTCTTATAGGAGGGGAACACAATCTGAATCCCTGGTGACAGGTGGCTTCAAAACCCTAGGACAGGGATCCCCAATCCCCAATCTGTGGACCGGCACTGGTCTGTAGCATACCAGAAACTGCTCCACACAAACAAGCAAAGCTCCATCTGCAGGATGCAGGCAGAACATGAAACCGTGACCCCCCTGGTCCATGGAAAAATCTTTCTTCATGGAATTGGTCTCTGGTGACCCAAAAGATTGGGGGCCGCTGTCCTAGAGATTGTTAATAAATTGAATCTTTTAATGTAGATGGGAGAAAGTAAGCAGTCTTATTACCTATATTTGATTAAAACAAAACAAAAAAAATAGTTTTTGTCATGGCCTCTCCTAGGTTCTTTTAGAGCACGGGTTTCAAATTTACAGCGTCATTTTACCGTCATGTGATGTTTCGCAATGTTTTCCCCATTCACAGAACTGGGGTGGGCGTGGCCTGCATGTGGTGCATGCGGCCCGCGGGCCACCTGTTTGACACCCCTGTTTTAAAGCATCTCCCCATGCAACGGAACTGGGGGGGCAATCCATGGTTCAAAATAAGGTTCAATCACAAGTATTTGATTTAATGTTTCAGATATCAAATTGGATAGTTTGAAAATTAGCTTTATTATGTCAGTTACAATACGTGGAGTACTAAAGAATGCAAGTGTACGGAATTATAACAGAGAAACTCACAACCGAACAAGGGTATTCAACTGTGCTAAGGTAAGCTCACTAACATTTCTTTTTTTTTCTTCTTAAAAATGCTAAAAAGGTAGATATGAAATCCTATACTTCAACAGGAATAGTGATGGCAATATGTTTGCTAGAAATTCTAAAAAAATATTTTTAGTAAAGAAAGACAATACTATTTTATACAGATTAGTTCTTTGTCAGTAACATTTTTTTAAAAAAAGAGGCTGTACCTAAACAGTATGTGTTTTAAAACTATTCACACATTCCCAAATCAAAATGAACTTAAGGTTATTATTAATCTAACCAATTTTCATGTCCCAATTTACAGGATTGTGATGAAATTATTGTGGTTCATCTTGGCTATTTGAATTTCACTCGTTACAATATCGTTGTTACCTTTGACAAGTTTCCTGAGATCTACCACTTGAAGAGTTATAACTTCACAGTAAGTATAAATACTGTATATATATGGATCTTTGGTTGTTCGGGTTTTCTCCCGTGTAAGATTCGAAGTATCTAGGCAACGTTTCGATGAAGTCTCATTCATCATCTTCAGGCTTCTGTCTCCGGCTCTGTGCTTCTCAGAGTGAATCTTACGCGGGAGAAAACCCGAACAACCAAAGATCCACATACAAATACCCGCGAGAACCTCAGAAAACTGTATATATATATATATATGTGTGTGTGTGTGTGTGTATATATATGTATATATGTATGTATGGTTGTATATATATTTGTGTGTGTGTGTGTGTGTGTGTGTGTGTATATGGTATAAATAAGTATAAATAGTAAAAGTAATTAGAAAATATAGGTTCAGCTTTATGTGGAAATCTTTTCGTGTTGATTTTCAACAGAAAACCCTGAAGCAGTTCACAGTAATTATAAAATCTTTCTGAATAAACTAGTAAGCAGAGAATTGCAAATATCTATTTGACCTTATTTTTAAGGCATGGAAGAAATCCCCTTTTTAAAACACTGAATAGAAGTAAATGACATACTAAACATGATTACAATTGACTTGATTCTGAATCTGACATGACTTATAGACATATGACTTGATATAAAAAAGACAAATTGTAAAGTGCTGGTCTGAAAAAAAGTCTTGTCCTAAGTGTAATTACTAAAAAATAAATTGGAGATGCTATTGAAGAGCAAGGGGAGTAGAGTTGCCGACTGCAAGGAGGGATTGAGAAAATTATTTCCTCATCCTTTTCTCTTCTGGAATATGATAAATTCTGTTTCTTGCAATAAAATAAATAATTAAAACACCTTGAGCAGTAAAGAGAATTGGATAATTAGACAGATCAGGCTTTTCTAAATACTGATGTATTTGCCTGGCAATAAATGGACTCCAAAGAAGCAGGAAACAGATCACAGAAAGGAAAGAAGTCCAATGGTAGTACCTGGACAGGTGGGGGGAAATCTTTTTATTTTCCCCAGGCACACTTCAGAATTTGGCAGAAATGGGGAAAGAGCCTCTAAGAATCTAGTTCCTGTTGGAGCAATAGCAATAGCATTCAATATTATTATATATATTCATGTTTTAATTTTGTGAAATGTATTTCTGAAGCTGAGTTTGAAATAGGATTAGAAGAATTAATAAATGGTGGTGAGTTCCCAAATGTTGATGGACTTCAAATTTTGGCTATTGTTCAGAAGCAAGCAATTAATTTGCCAGGGATTTGTAATCCACTGTATCTAAAGAACGGTAGACAAGTGAAGGGAAATTGATCCTGTCCACCTGATTCAGATGTCCTCCAAATAATGTTTACATTGTAATGTGTGGATTGACATCTTCTGTCTATGTGAAGAAAGCTCAACTTTATTGGTTCAGTCTAGTAGATTATCTCTGACTGAAGGGAGAATTAACCAACAATATTATGGCCTTTCTAGAGAAGCATTTTTAATGATGGCTCAGAAATGTGCCTGAGATCTAGAAGCCCAACTGGATCAGTCTGCCCTACCCAAGAACATTTTTCTGAGCTGTCAGGCTTGTTTTTCAGTTCAGTAAGACAACTACACCATGTAACTGTGCCTAAATTCCAGAGAGCACTAACTGTAGCATGCTTTCAAGTACTCCTTATGGTACTTCTTGAGATACAAATTCCACATGAGCTCGGTGGAGAGGGGCACGATTCTGGGAGTTGAAACCCACAAGTCTTAGAGTTGTCAAGTTTGGAGAACCATGTACTTTTTTGTACTTTTTATAAGGATGCAAGAACTTGTTTTTATCACTTCCCAGTTAATAAAATAACCAGGCAACTCCAATTTATTCTGTGCACAGCTGGTACCAGACCAGAGTCCTATTTCTATGAATGTGGCCAAACATTGTTATTAGATATATACTTTGCTCACATCAATAAACTATTCACAATCTACTACTAATTGTTGTATTTTGATCAATAACCATAATAAACATACACATCTATGTGCATTTGAAGGTCCGTCAGTAGGAAAACAATATTGAATATGAAAGTATCATTGATGTTTATTCACAAAACTTTTGGTTAACAACCTGACATCTTTTTATTTTCAGTGGAAAATGTATAACCCAGCCTTCTCCCAAGTGGAAATCTGGTTCCGATTTGTCTTTGTGGTTTTTACTTTCATAGTCACAGTAAGTATCAGCTTTCTGTTTAGTTTTAATAATACATTTTGGTATGTTTGCCTGTTTAAGACAAATCAGTGTCTGTTTAGTTACACCTGCTGTTGGTTTAATTCATCTCAACATATTTTTACATCATGGTGACCAAAACTGGATGCAGTATTCCAAGTTTGGAAGCTTTCATGTTTCTACCGCTTCTCTTATGCTGAACAGATACCATATAATTGTTCTTCCTTTCTTTGCAGTGTCTCTTTGCTCACTCCCTGCGCAAGTTCTCCATGCGAGATTGGGGGATAGAGCAGAAGTGGATGTCAATCCTCCTCCCCCTGCTATTACTTTATAATGGTATTTATTTAAATTATATCCTGATATGATGGGATTTGGGGGTTATCCTACTTTCACATGTGAGAGATTAATGAAAATTAAAATTCCAACTAAAATCACTAGGAAAAATTAGGCTTGGCAGATCAGCATAATCTGATGGCATTTTCAGATTTGATAAAAAAAACATTTTGTTTGGTTGTTCCCATTATTTAATACCAAAATCATTAAGAGTGTTTGAAGTAGCTGAAAAGCTTTAATATGTGGAATTAAGTTAACCTCTGCTATCACTCAGTAGAAAAAAAAACTCATTAGTGAAATAGGCCAGCAGTTTATTCTAATTAAAAAGAAATGTTGAAAGATGGAAGGCTTGGCAAAACCTATTTCTTCTAAAATATAATGTTCAGAGAGCCTGTGCTCAAGATGGCTACCCACATCTCTGAACTGCTTTCCTATGATAGTTTTGAAAATGTTTTGAAAATATGGCTTCTTAGAAAAAGAATTGTGGAAAATGGGCTCATCAGAGTTGTAGTTGTCATCATTGTGGCTGTTTTGTTATTTTTCATTTTCAGTATGGTACACTGCAGTGTTTTTCTGCAAATGAGCAGAAGTAACAAGTAATATACCAATTTGAATGGAGATTGAAGTCTTGCTTAAGAAGGAGTTCTAGAATTCAAGGGAGCCATTGGGAAGTTTCCAGTCCTTCTATACTCACAAGCATGGTCTCTGGTGCATGGGTATTTCTGAAAAAGGAACCAATAGCAATGGTGCATCAGGCAATATCCTGACACATAACTGTGGAAATAGAGATGACAATCTAACTACCTTCCATTCCTTTGTTAGTTTTTTATTTGTATCTGTGCCTATGAGTCAGTGTTGACTCCTGGTGACTGTGTGGACCAGGCCCTGAAGTTTTCTTGGCAAGGTTTTTTGAAAATGGTTTGACATTGCCTCCTTTCTAGGCCTGAGAGAAAGTTACTGGCCCAAGGTCACTCAGCTGGCTTTGTACCTAAGGCAGGGCTAGAACTCACATACTACCGATTTCTAGACTGATGTATCAACCTGTCTTAACCACTACATAAAATTGCTCCTCCTTGAAAGACTTTTCCATTATTTCTTTCCCTGCTTGGTGCAATTAGTGTGACTTGCAAGGGTTTTCTTTATGTATATGTGTGTGGGGGGGTGGGGGATGGGGTTGGTTCAGTTGTTACGCAGTACCTTTGTCCAGTTTTTGAAAATTCCTGCTCAACTCCAATTCCTGGCCATTTTCACTTGAATTCTGCCGTAATAAGCTGGGATGGGAAAAAAAGTCAATTTCTATACAAATCCAGCCCAAAGTTTAGCAAATGTTTTCTCAGTAAATTGCCTTTTAGAATGCAAGTGTTTTATATCTGTAATAAAGTATGTTAGAAATACCATATGGAAAACACCTGGCACATGTTTCATATTGTTTTTTTAAACTATTGTGATTGCATAGGGTTCAGATGTGTTGATCTATACTTTCCAGCATACCTGAATTATATGGCGTATTACCTGAATAGCCAATATATCGATATGGGCTAGGCTAGCTTGAGTTTATGTAACTTAACAACATCTTGGTCTTGGTGCTGTAGAAAAGACAGACTATTCTTATGGTTGGTAGCGGTGATGTCTTCTGACTATCCCCCTCTCCCATTCTGTTACAGACCCATTTTTCCCCCTCTCATTCCTAATCAACAGCTGGTTTCCTGGAATGCTAGATGACCTTTTTCAGTCGTTGTTCTTGTGTGCATTGCTGCTGTTCTGGCTTTGTGTCTACCATGGGATCAGAGTACAGGTGAGGACTGACTTTGGACTGTAAGTAAAGTTCTAGACACTGCATTTCAAAGTGATGCAGCGTCTAGAGAAATGAAAGTAATTGGAGCTTTTTACAATTAATACAGTAACGAAGGATGGGATTAGGGAGGTGGAATGGATAAAGTGTATAGGATAGTTCTTCTTCCTGTAAAATGGTGGGAAACCCAGGAAAGAGATAGAGGAATTATTGAATTACATGGCATGAAATTGAGCAATAAAATTTGCTGCTCTAGAGTGTAGTAATAAGCAATCAACTTGGTTGCCTTTAAAAGGGGATTGTACATATTCTTGAACAACATAAAAGAAGAGTGCTAGAAAAGTTTAATCTAGCACAGTTGTTATGATAGGAGTAAAATAATATTTCAGTGTGGTTTATGCTCTGTGATAATGCCTGTTTTGTTAAATACTTAGAAAGTATGATTTTTATCTAAAAACTCTACAAAGTAACTAGGCTTAAAGATGTTGGTCTAGAAATATCTACTGAGCTTCATGGCTGAACAAGGGTCCTCCTAATCCCAAATTCCAGCCAGTCATTAAATCTTTTCAGTGAAACTTGCTTGCTTCACTTAGCAACATGTGGTACTTAACAGGTGTTGAATGCTGGTATTTTGCCAATGGAATGAACATTATTGCTGAACAGAATTCTATCCTTAACTCCAGTGTATTGCCTCTGGAATACTGGGGCAGCCTTCAGAATAAGTGTAATGAACAATTATGGGACAGGAAATGGGAGAAGAAGAGGAGGAAGATAAAAGCTTCTTTTGTTCAAAAGGAAATCCGCTTACATAATTTTGGATTTAGCTCTATGTAGCCAGTAGCCCAAAGAATTTCCATTATTCATAGGGTAATAAATAATATGACTTGAAAAGGGCTTGAAAACCTTAGCTGAGTAAATCTGTTGTTTTGGTTCTGCCCTTCTGGTCAAGTTAATTACACAGTTGTTTATTTGGTGGCTCCTTCTTCAGAACTCACACTAAAAACAGCGTGTCATAAATGATAACATTTTGATTGAACAAAGTTTCTATAAGACTATGAAGTGCCGTAGCCAAGGGGCCGACTTGTTACACTGATCATCACTTTGGAGGTTCTTTTGAAGGAAATAACATGTTTTACAATCCTGAATTAAAACAAACACATTAAAACAACAGAAACAACAGTTCATCGCTTTACTTCCCTCCAAAAAGTATGCAACAAACCGTTCACCGAATTTATCTCCTCTACAAAGGAACATCTGCAACCATAAGTGAGATCTGCCAGATTTTGCAAACATTGGCAGTTGTGTTTCTGCAAAGAAACTGACACAGATTTGACAGCTCTTTCTTAAAAAGTAATTAAACTTCAGTCTGACGTCTTCTCTATTAATAAAGAAAAAATATTTGGGAGATATATATTCTTCTTGCATTTAACATCAAAATAGAAACAAAAGGATTCTTGCTCTATTTTAATTAAAAAATATTCTTACAGAGTTGTAACTGATTTTTGTAATGCAAATCCAATATGGTTGTCACCTTTTCTTTCCTTTTTCCATTTTTTAGGGAGAAAGAAAATGCATGACCTTTTATTTTCCAAAATTCCTTATTGTTGGTCTCCTGTGGTTGGCTTCTGTTACACTAGGCATATGGCAGACGTAAGTAATTTACTTCTTTTTGTTTGTTAAACACTAATTATCTTTTTCCTAATTCAAAACAATTTACAAAATTCAGAATAGAAACAGTAATAATATTAGAATGGATACTAATATATTAATAAAATGAAAAAAGGGGCTAAAATTTTAATTTTAAAAAGGCCAGAAAGAGATCTTAGAAAATATTTTAAACGTTCTGGAAAAATGAAAAACCAACTATATCAAGTTCAATCCTTACCTAGATTGTTATAGATAAATGTTTAGATTCATGATCATAGCATGCTTTTTTTTTTTTTAGGGTCAATGAACTACATGATCCAACATACCAATATGAGATTGACACAAATAATTTTCAGGTATGTTAGGATAAAGCAGTTTTGGATTTGCATAGGAAATGATGAATGAACTCAGGTTTTGAAAATAGACCTGTTTTTAACCTATTTAACTGTGTAAAAAATTTGCTTAATCCACATCTAAAATTATTTGTATATATTAGGGAAAATTGTACCATAGCTTAAACTCTGTTTTCAAAACTACGACTGCAAAAAAGATTGAAAAAAAATTGGTTTACTTCTCTGGGAGTGCAATTTACTTTGAAGATAGCAAAATTGAGCCATGTCAGCATTACGTTTATTTCTATCCTAAATTTAAGATTTATTCTTAAGATTTTTCCTTTTTATTTATCCCGGTAAATTTCTGATATTTCTAATATATCTTTTGCTTTTCTCTTCTCTTTTTCTCTTTATTTACTGCCAGTTAGCATATATATATATTCTGAGGTTTTTGTGGGTATTTGTATGTGGATCTTTGGTTATTCGGGTTTTTTCCCACGTAAAATTGGAAGTATCTAGGCGACGTTTTGATGAAGTCTCATTCATCATCTTCAGGCTTGTGTCTTCGGCTTTGTGCTTCTCAGAGTATAGAATCCACTATAGAAAAAGCTGGAACACACTTCCTCACTAGTCTAACACATAAAAGCCACAGGTTATAGCATCAACTTCAATGGCACCAAAACCCTAGCCACTATAGAAAACCCCAGCTACAGAATTATCAGAGAAGCCATAGAGATTGAAAAAAGACCTGAAAGCATGAATAGAAGAGATGACTTCACCAGACTGTCAATTATCTGCAAGCCTGCACTCTCAAACAAAAAAATCTCCACACCACAAGCCAAGCAAACACCTGGGCACAAACAGACTCCCCCTGATACCTCCAGCTCAAACACACCCCAACCAGGCACCCAGATGAAACCTAGCTTCCTCATAAATGATAGCCCCCCCTTAACTCAGAGCCAAGCCACACGAAAAGCCTCCAATACAGGAAACACAATGTTGCCAGCCAATCAAGACAAAAAAAGCTACAAAACAGACAGAAGATATTAGAAACACCAATCAAGCAGAACACAGCAAACTCCAAGACCAATAAACACAGACCAAGACTCCCAACCAATCAGGATGAAGAAAAAACCATTCTGGCACAGCAGCAGGCTAGCACTAAATTTAAAACAGAAACGGCTGTAAAAGTCTGCCTCACAGATGAACACAATACAGAAGCCTGATGATGGCAGATGAGATTCTGCCGAAACGTTGCTACAACTTTAAAAGCACAACTATAATGATGTGGGAAAATACCTGAACAAAGCTGAATACCATACATATAGATACCCGCGAAAACTTAAGAAATATATATATATATATATGTAACACCCATGAAAAGAAGTTCTGCTATCTATGAATTTTTAGGAATTGTGCACATACTCCAGAGAACTGCTAAATTTTATTTAAAAAATGCTATTTTTTACTTCTTTTCTCCATTTTGAGGTTTTTCCGATATCAAAGCCAACATGCTGTGCTACCCATCCAAAGATCCTAATTTTATAGCTTCCTAATAGATTGGACTACCATTTCCCATAACTGCTAGCTGACAGGGCCTTGGTATTGGGTTTAAATAAAACAATATTACATTCTCTTCTTCTAAGACTCCGTTCTAAGATTCTGTCATCACCTGCTCAAACCCCTTTACCCTCCTTACCATCAACTAACCTCTATTGACCTCACCCCATTCCTAAGAGGTCTGCAAGGGGCATGCATAAGTGCACCATCGTGCCTACCATCCCTGTCCCCTATTGTCCCCAATTATTAGTTCCTATTTCTTGTATTTAAACTTATGTTTATTCTTGTTTCTGTTGTATTGTAAGCTTTTGACAAATAAAATAAATAAAATAAAAATAAATAAGACTGTTGGACCAGCTTGTAAAGATGATGGTCTCTGTGTACAATTTGGAGGTTCTCAACGTAATGTCATTCCCAATAACTGAAAATAAAATGTAAAATGGTCAAGACTTCACTGAAGTCCTTGGGGTGGGATTATTGTAAACTTTGGTGATTACCTGAACTTTCAATCAAGTAAAACTAAGGATAGTGTTCAATGCCTGATACAATTGTCAACTCCTGGCATAATGCACAGATGTGGGAGAAAGAAAGTGTAGTGCTATCAAAATAATATTCAAATGTTTTTAATTGTGTTTTTGTAACAGGGGATGAAAATCTTCTTCCTTGTGGTGGCAACAGTATATATTTTGTACCTTTTATTTCTAATAATCCGGGCGTGCTCAGAGCTTCGGAATATGCCCTACGTTGGTAAGCTCTGTTCTTCACCTGTGATTTCTGATGATGTGTTGTTCTTCTGGAAAGATACTTGTGTTATTTTTCAACTGACTCTTTCCTATTCTTTTCTCAGATCTCAGGTTGAAATTCTTGACTGCGCTGACGTTGGTAGTTCTTATCATTAGGTGAGATATTCACTTGAGGATATTATTCAGTTGTATCTAAAAGTGTGCAAAATGCTCCTTTTGGGGGATGGGCCATATTTGAAACACAAATTACTTCCTGTCTTGGAAAGATATATGTCTGTAAAATAACCCAACCCTTCCTTACCCCTCCCTCCTCCTGCTCTGGAATGGCTGGGTCAACTCAGTCTGGAAGAAAAACACAATTTCTGACATCACCAGACTAATACTTTTTGCAGGTTCCTAATATTCTGTGTGAAATATGAAATATGTGCAAGGTATTAAATGCAGTGGATCATTGGATCAACCTCCCTTGGAAGCAGATACAGTGGTACCTTGGTATTCAACTGCTTTGAAACTTGCTGAATTTGGTACTCAATCATTTTGAAGCAAACATTTTATCCTAGTATTTATTATTTGCTTGGTACTCAACACAGAACCTATCGGCTACCTCATGACTCACTACATTATTCCTTATGGAAAAAAAATGGTACTCATCGTGTTGCCTGGAATCAATTAACAATGAGTACCAAAGTACTATTGTACCAGATAGTGCACTTTGGTAATATTTTAAAATTAAAACAAAAATTGAAAATCTACCCATAGAGGAAAATGTAATAAAGAAAATATTAGAATGTGCTGAAATTGAAAATTAAGGATAAGGGACAGAATACTTTTTAATTTGGGAATTATTTTATCAGTGGCTAGAAAATAGAAGCAGAAGTGAGAAACTTAGAATGGAGAGGGATATGTAATCAAGGATGAAATAAATGTGTAACTGAATAATGAAATATTGAATAATTAGGATAAGTAAACATGATTAATAGAATTAGAGGATAATGTTTATAAATGTGATGTTCATATGTTTATAATGTTTGATATTATTAACCAATTATAGATAAAGCTGAATAGAGTGATAATTAAATAATGGGAAATGTTTAATAAGTGAAGATCATGGTGAATAGATTTTGAGAATAATAGTTATAGCTATTGTATTGTGTAATGTACTACTTGTATTTAAAAGAGATTGTACCCAAACAGTACACTGCCATTGTAGATGTGGAAATTTTATATATAACAAAGAAAATTGCATAATAAAAAGTTATAATTAAAAAAAAGAACGGAATTAAAACAATCTCTCTAGACATTCTTGCTGTGTAAATTTTACACCACTGCAGTCAACCATTAATATTTTAGGGAGTGTTTTGTAAGAAATCCTACAAGATTAAACACAACTTTTTTCATCTCCATAGTTCCCCTGAAGTATGTGTATGTCTTATATAACTTATTCCTACTTTATTTGGGCAGTTGTATTAATCTTGGAGACCTATGTTTATAATTGGCCCATTTGCAGCTTTCTGTGATTTACTTGGGAAATAGTTTCCTAATGTTAATTTCAAATACTGATTTTTATTTAATTGCTCTTGGAATTAAAAAAGGATTTTAAAATGTAGAATGAACTTTGATTTCTTTTCCTTTCTTGCAGCATCGCTATATTTTATTTGCGTTTTGGAGCACAGGTTCTTCAGGACAATTTTGTGGCTGAGCTTTCAACCAATTATCATAATTATATCCTTTCACTGTGACATCCTGCTCAAAGTTTCAATCAAATGGTAGGGCAATCATAATTGAAAAGACTAATATACGAATAAATAAGATAGGCTTTATATAGCCCATTATGTAGACTCTCAACAGTGACAAAACCCTGTCATTACTCCGAAGCCTACAGTTATATTCTCAGTTTCCATTTATGTATCCCAAAGATGCTGTTCAAAAGGCAACTGGACTCTCTTGGTTTTCTTTTTTCCTTGAATACATTTCACTTCTGATCCAAGAAGTTTCTTCAGTTCTGGCTGAATGGTGGGGAATGGTTTCATTATCAGATTATCAGTCAACCATGACCTGGATGACTAATAATCTCCATAGTCATTCCATGTATATTACTGTTAGGAATAAAAAGTAGAGCTCATTCAGCTTTTTGAATGGTTCTTTAGATCTTGATTACATGTTGAATTGTTTTTATATATAATGATATCCTTGACAGTTATCACCTGCAGAATTCTTATCCTTCTATGGATTATTAAATTTCTACCTATACACATTAGCCTTTGTGTATTCACCGTCAAAAAATGCCCTATACGGTAAGTTAATTTATGTTGTTTCTTTTGGCAAAATTCTGTTTTACTTTTGTTTGAAGTAGTTTGACTGATCTATGGATAAGCTATGAAGTTTAGTACCAAATGGTGCACTGCATAGTAAAATATTATTATTTGTGGGCATTCAGATGTTATATCATTTTTTTTATTATTATAATGTCCAGAACTAAATGTGTTAGGTAATCTGAGCTTGGCATAGTTTCCAGGCATTTTGAGATGGAGAATGTGAGGGGAAAATGAGCCTTTAAAATGTTCCATCATTCTTGTGTAACAGAGCAAAATCTGAAACTACCCCTAAAATCTCAGTCCCAACCACATATGTAATGTGACTCTCCCCTTTCTACCACAATCAACAAAGGTGCCCTTGACAACTAATGATTGTCCGGTTCTGATCTATAACAATAAATAAACACTGAAGCAAAGAGAGGAGGGTTTAATATTCATTAAAGTGGCACCAAAGAATGACAAGGAAGAAGATACCTGAATTAAAAGACTTTTAATATAACTGATCTTTGGGGAAGAGGGATGCGTTTATGGACTATATTCTTCAAAACATTTTTCAGAATCTCAGCTGAAAGACAACCCTGCCTTTTCCATGTTGAATGATTCAGATGACGATGTTATCTATGGGTAAGTAAGACTTGCAATAATGTCACCAATCCCACTTTGTTTCTGTAGTGTTCTATAAAGCGTATTTTCATTTTTTTTTGCCAGGCCTCTCCATTTCCTACATTAAAAAAAAAACTTGTCCCATAAGTTGTTTTTGTAATAAAAACAAATGATAAGAAAAGTTCTTCTGGAATTAATATGCAGCAAAAATAATCATTAAGGCATAAATTGTGAAACTGCTATTATGTGTTTGCACCCCCAGAAAGACTAACACTTTTATAAAAAGATGGCAAATCTAAGAGGTCCATCAAGCAGTTACTAAGTCAAGTTGAATTATTAGAAAGATCTGTTTAAGAAAGAATAGTAATTTTCGTGTTTAGATCTGTATATGTAGCTTGCAGATATTGTAAAATAAAAAATACTGTACATAGTCTGTTAGATTGGCTTGACAGAAAGTTATTAATATTTCCCAAAGTGTAGACCTTTGGAAATGTTATGACTGATCCTAGTCAGTCTTTTCCCAATCTTCACCTTAATTCAGCTGTTTGAATTGTGTGGGGCTCATTTTTTTTTTTAGGATTTGTATTACTCCCCTTGGATCTGTTTTTGATGAATTTTGACTGCTGAAAATTTTGAAGTAAACGTTGCTTTAAACAAACACAATTAAAATTGAATTAAACTGATTATACCCTGCTTCTAATAGTCAAATTGAAAAGCAACAAAAAGGGGGTTTCCAAACAGGCTAAAAGAAAATAAAGGA